GGGAGGGGGCCCTCCCCCTCCTCTCTTCCCCTTCGCTCCTTCTTCGCTCCGTCTCTCTCTCTCTCTCTTTTCTTTCTCTCTTTCTTTCAGTTTCGGCCGGCTCCTCGACCCTCTCGAGCGTCTGGCCTCTCACGAACGAAGGCCGAGGGACCCATTCGACGGACCTCCCAAACGGGGATAAACGAAAACCAAAGAGCTCGTTTCCACCGCCTCGAGACTTCCTCTCCGTCCGCTCACGCCTCCTCCCCCTCCTCTCCCTCTCTCGAGCTTCGAGTTCACGGGAGAAAAAATTTTCGAAAATTCGTGACTGTTCGAGGGATTGGAATCGGTAACGATTATCGATGAAGATTTGGGGGAAATTTATAAATAGTTGAAGTTGTAACTGTGCTTTTTTCTTTCCTTCTTTTCTCAATAGAGTGGGACACTGTTGGTTGCTGGAATAATAGGTATTTCCTTATTTTTGAGGATTCAATTTTTTCGAAATTCCGCTATGGTCTAAAATCAATACGAATTGTAATTTTATTTTTCTTTCATGACCATTTAATAGTCATCGTTCAAACCATAATGACAATAAGAATCGCAAATAATATGAGAAGGTTATACATGGATTAATAATAACCGTTTCAACGAGTGGATTGAACTGAAAGAAACTTTATGTTTAACCCGACAAGTTGTACCTGAATTATTATTCGAATCGACCAAATGAAATATTCAACACTTCCTTCCTTGCTTTGATCACGCGTTATTATTAAAAGACGTATGGAAAGTGTGTACGCTCGAATTGGTCAGATTAATATCCAGAGAAAGAGAGAGAGAGAGAATCAAATTTAGAAGCGGTACTCGCTCGAGCATCACAACAGGCGTCTTTTCATCGTTGAAAACGGCGAATCTTTTCCACGTCCAAGCTTGCTAGGCTTAATTGCTTGCTTAACTCGAGAGAGAGAGAGAGAGCATCGGTAAATGCAACCGCTGATAACCGCGTGTCGCGAATAACGAAGGGAAGGGAGAGGGGTCGTAAATCACTAAAAGTCCTTCTCGTCAAAGGGTGAATTGTGCCCGAGATAATTACGTTAGACGAGCATCGGCCCGTCCGTGTCTCCCGTAAACGATCCTCGAAGCAAAGGGCTCGTTGTAAGCCTTTTCTAAAACCGATCCTCTGTCTTGCAACTCTGTTGGAGACGATTGAAATTTACACAAGGGATTTTTACTTTGTCCGTTTGATGGACGCGTTTGACAATAACGATTTGATACTCGAGCGCACTTGAGTGATGCGGACGAATTGGAAATTGTATTTGCAATTTTTATGAATTTGATGAATCGAAAGTAGAATTTTCTGAGAAATTTATTCTGAATTGTGGATATTTTCATTTTAAACTTTTCAGAGTTGAACCAAAAGTAAGATTCTAATGGAATGAGAAATTTATTTTAAATTGTGGGTATTTTCATTTTTGAGTAAACT